GCGGGGGGGGGGGGGGGGGGGCTGGGTGGCTAGGTATTGCGTGTGTGTGAGGGATGAGAGAGATCTGAGAGAGAGCGAGAGAGATGGGAGAGAGATTTGACTTTGAGAGAGATGTTTGTTTGCACTTCACATGCAAGGATGCACTAGTTAGTGTGAGAGAGATTTGTCCCTGGCGGGCGGGCGGACGGCAGTTTTCTCTTCGCTCGGCTGCCCGCCTGCCTGCCCGCCTGCCTGCCCGCCCGCATCCTTCCTGTCTGTCTTTCGTTCCATCTGTCTGTCTACAATGCACACCTCAGGGATTTTTGAGCCCACAATGGTGACATCTGCTTCCTCTGTTCTCCACTTCACCATCCGCCTCACTGTCTGTCTGGCCGGCTGCCTGTCTGTCTGGCCGGCTGCCTGTCTGTCTGTCTGTCCGGCTGCCTGTCTTGTCTGTTTTGCCTCCATGTCCGGCTGCTTCTCATGCCGACCGATTCATATGAATGTCGTCATATGACTCGCGGCAGGCGATCTCGGGAGGGATCCTTGCCGTGACAATTCACAAAGGGGGGGAGGGGGGAGGGATGGGGGAGGGGCTGGGGGAAATGGGTGTGTCATTCATCCACTCACCGTCTGGCTGTCTGTCTGTCTCACTGTCTGTCTGTCTGCTGAGAGGGATCATTCTAGTCACAAGACAGAGGGATTGATTTACTCGCTCGGTTCGCTCTCAGGTATATGTGTGTATGTGTGTATGTGTGTGAGTGTGTGTGTGTGTGTGTATTTAAGCGTCCCTCCTTTTGGCTGACTGACTGAGTGACCGACCAGTGGGTATCTATCTGTCTGTTGACATATATATATATATATACATATATGTGTGTGTGTGTGTGGGGTGGGTGAGAGAGTGGGTCGGTTCGGTGAGGCAGGCAGTGGATGGGATGGTCGGGTGGGTGAGTGTCTGGAGCGGATGAGGGAACGCCATGTGTGTATGTAATTCGCACAGGAATTTCGTGTGCGTAGTGGGCGCTGCCCTCGCCCACTGACCCACTCACTCGTTGAAACCCCTGTGGCTGCGTGTGCCGTCCGTTTTGCGCATCTTGATATACATGTGTGTGTGTGTATGTGTATGGATGTGTATTGCGTGTGTGTGCGGTGTTTTGAAGGGCCAGGGTGTGGTGTGGCTGCGTGGATGCGCTTGTGGGCGTGTCCGGTGGGCCGCCGTAATATATGTATCACAGTCGCCAGTGCCTCTCCTCTGTGGATATCCGTGTTGTATTTTGCGCATCGATCTGTGTGTGCGTACTGATATTTGTGAAATGAGAGTGAGAGAGAGAGAGAGATGCTGCCATTCCGAGAGAGAGAGAGAGAGAGAGAGAGGGTTTACATCACTAACTACTGACTACGTTGGCGCATTTGTTGGAGCGAGGGTATGGGCGAGGGCGACGGTGAAAGAAGCGAGTGTTTGCGAGGGATCTTCCCTTCACCATATAGGTGTCAATAGCTACAGCCTATGTATGCTACCACTACCTCGACCTATACTCGGCTGTCTGTCTGTCTGTCTGTGTGTGTGTGTTGGCGGCGGCCATGTCGATAGAGAGAGAGAAGGAAGGAAGCAGCATCACAATTATACATATGGGTAGCACCTGGCTGTGTGTATGCGAAAGGGTGAGCGGCGAGGAGTGGATGGATGGATGGATGGATGGCCGGCCATATGTGACCTCTGCCTCAAGCCGCCTGTCTCCCCTCTTTGTTGTCGTCTAGCTACGCCATGATCGACGCTTAGGTGCTCCCTGATGCAGCAGGGGTAGTCTGACCGTTGACAGTGGTCTGCTCAGATGACAACAAAAGCCTTGGGGGACAGACAGGACTAGAGCAGCCACAACAAAAACCGATGATGCCGTGCGATGTGTGTGTGCACTCGTACTCGTCGCTCGCCACTTTGACGGAAAGGTGGCTGGCCTGGCGGGCGGGCGGGCGGGCGGGCGGGCTGGCGGGCATTCACTCCATTGCATATCAGGGTGGGTGGGCCCCTCTGGTGACTTTATGCGTCGGTGATGGGATGGGATGTGATGTCTGTCTTTTTATCACTGACAGGTCAGGCAGGTCAGTCAGGTCACTCCGTGGCTGCTGTCCGTCTGTCTGTCTGTCTGTCAGCTTGTCGATCTTTGGTGTGTCCGCTGGCGGGGCGGGGCGGGCATGTTCTCTGGTAGGTATGCCCCCCACACGCACACCCGCATCGAGCTTTGTCGATCGCACTCACCGCCCACTCCACTCACACTCATGTGGTGTTCGTGTCGCATGTCGCGTCAGGTGTAATGCGCCTTTTTTCAAGGCATGGATTTGATGGCCGATCGCTCTCTCATCGCATCGCATCGCATGGACAGGCAGACGCGCACACACCCCTGCCACGTGTGTGTGTGTGTGTATCTCATGTGGATCTCCTGCTGTATGTATTTTTCGTTTCTGCAGTCGGGTGCATGGCTACCTGGCCAGTGCACCCGCAAGTGTCGATCCCATTTCCCATTCGTGTGCTGCGTGGTGTTGGCCTGCCTGCCTATGCCACCTTTGTTTGAGGGATGAAGGAAGCTTTGGTGACTGATATGACAGAGAGAGAGGTGTCAACTGGACCCTTCCCACACACGTACACATGGCACATCATCTCTGAGTGTGTGGCTGTGCATCGGAGGCTGATCTAGTTCGAATGCTGTCCAGTCCAGGTGTCTCTCCGTCTGTCCATCCATTACTCGTCCGTGTCGGGTGGGTGTCTACACTATCGGTGTGTGTATTTGAGAGGGGGCCCTTGCGTGTGTGAGTGCGACGGATCGATATCGCACTCCATTCATTCATCGCATGTCTACATGACGTAGAGACGCGACACACTCGCTGCACGTGCAGGTCATGTCATCATGGTAGTGGTCTGGTCGATCTGCCGGTGAGAATCGGTCCACGTCTAACACTAATTGCTCACAAATCAAACTGAGCATAAATAAGACAGACAGCAAAGACGCTCATTCTACACCTCCATCGCATTGCCAGGCGACAATTGGACAGCGAGCGCAGGCAACACACGATCTAATGGACAGACCACAACCGACGCACAACCCTGGTGCGCACTTGTGTGTGGATTGATGAGTCCCCCGCCCTCTCTCTCTGTGTGGGATGGGCTGCCAGCGTTTATGCTGCCCATCAGATTTTCTGCTCGGCAAGCGTCTTGAGTTTCGCCTGCCGTTCTTGCTCGAATAGCTCCATTTGTCTGTCAATCGGCCCGTGGAAGTCCTTCCGGGATGTCTCGAGGCCCATCGACCCGATGATGGTCTCCTAAGTGAGTGAATGCACACCCCATACAAATACACACGACACACGTGGGCAATCGAATCGGCAGGGGGCCGTTTGTGTGAGTGTGTGTGTACTGACCATGGCACGGCAGAGGTCGTCCTGAGGCATTCTGATGTAGATGGGCTGACAAATGCCCCACAAGTCGTACTCAGCTGGTGCAATAAGGCCAACGCCACACACACACACACACAGACACACAGAGAGAGAGAGAGAGAGAGACGAATTCGACGACAGTGTGCGATGCTTCTGCCCGCTCACGCTTGGCGAGTTCTTCGGACAAGTCCTGGTAGAACTCGACGAAGTGTCGCTCATCTTTGCAGCACTGGTGGTGTGTATCGACCATCAAACGCAGCTTGTGGTCACCCACCTGCACACACGGATGAACCAACAGGCAGGCAGGCAGGCAGAGTCGCTTACCTGATCGAGGCTCCGATGGTTGATGATGCCTCCCAGCGCCTCAATTTGCTCTACCTGGGGCGTGCAGATCACATTCCTACACACATTGATAAACACCATACCATAGAGTGGACATACGAGTGCTCGCTCACACGGGTCATTCATTCAAGCTTCTTTCTTTCTGCCCGACTGCATCTAACCACACACACACATTCTCACTCGTAGGTCCATCCGTCTTGAAGGCCGCTGTTGACGAGCGCGTTGGCCACAAAGCTGTCGAAGATGCCGAACGCGATGACCCTCTCGATCGTGGACAGGTACTGGTAGACCCAGGCGTCTATAATCACATCCTTCTCTCCCACAAGGCGCTCATACGACGCCTGCACCTTCCTCAGCTGCCAGAGCTGCCCAGACGTTTGACGCTTTTGGACCGCATGGCGTCGGCTGGCCGCTGCACGCTGAAATATTCTTTGCCGTGGCTGGGCGAGAGGCTGAACGGACGGCACCAGGTGCCTGTGAGAGGGCTGATGCGACATGATGCGGTGCGAGGGGAGAAAGGCAACGGCCGGCGGCACTGCCGAGATGAGCAGGAGGCTACCAACAGTCAGCAAGATCATTTCCATGTCGTCTGGTGGTCATTCGCTCCATGCATTCTAGGACACAAGGCAAGCTTGTGTGAGAGCACCCACTCGGTCAAGCTGTGTGACCAACTGAGCCGTCTGAGAGAAGGGGAAGTTGAATGGGACGCTCCATCGCAGCTGACGCACTCTTCAATGAAACGGCTGCAGTAAGCGTCAACAGCGCCCGTAGCAGCGGAGAATGAGCATCAGATCCGAAAATGCCCTTCTCTTCAATGCGAGCTTGAAGCTCTCTCGGAGGAGTGCAAAAGTCCGTGGTTTACGGTCTAGGGTTCGACCGACGATCCGCTCCCGGGAGACACTGCAGTTGAGTCTCTCGTTGGACACTCGTCGACGCATACTACATGTTTTACGTGGACTTTCCACAAAATCCATAGACCTTACCTTGCATTGACCATTCTCACCGACTCTCCACCTATTCTGACAGCTTTCTGTTCCCCTTCGGAAGTTTTCTCAGCCGCATGCATGGCACAACGTCTCTGAGTGTGTGTGGGTGTGCATCGGAGGCTGATCTAGGTCGAATGCTGTCCAGTCCAGGTGTCTCTCCGTCTGTCCATCCATTACTCGTTCGTGTCGGGTGGGTGTCTACACTCTATCGGTGTGTGTATTTGAGAGGGGGCCCTTGCGTGTGCGACGGATTGATTGGCTCGATATCGCACTCCATTCGTTCATCGCATGTCTACATGACGTAGAGACGCGATACACTGGCTGCACGTGAACGTGGCCGTCATGTCATCATGGTAGTGGTCTGGTCGATCTGCCGGTGCGGTGAGAATCGGTCCACATCTAACAGTGCTAATTCCTCACAAATTAAGCTGAGGACAAATAAGACAGACAGCAAAGACGCTCATTGTACACCTCCATCGCATCGCTAGGCGACAATTGGACAGCGAGCGCAGGCAAGACACACGATCTAATGGGCAGACCACAACCGACGCACAACCCTGGTGCGCACTTGTGTGTGGATTGATAAGTCCCCCGCCCTCTCTCTGTGGGATGGACTGCCAGCTTCCATGTTGCCCATCAAATCTTCTGCTCAGCAAGCCTCTTGAGTTTCGCCTGCCGGTCTTGCTCGAATAGCTCCATTTGTCTGTCAATCGGCCCGTGGAAGTCCTTCCGGGATGTCTCGAGGCCCATCGACCCAATGATGATCTCCTGCGTGAGTGAGTGAATGCACAAGCCATACAAATACGTACGACACACGTAGGCAATCGAGTCGGCAGGGGGCCGTTTGTGTGAGTGTGTGTGCGTGCTGACCATGGCACGGCAGAGGTCGTCCTGAGGCATTCTGATGTAGATGGGCTGACAAATGCCCCACAAGTCGTACTCAGCTGCAGGTTGCAATAAGGCCAACGCCACATACACACACACACACACACACACACAGAGAGAGAGAGAGAGAGAGGCGAATTTGACGACAGTGTGCGATGCTTCTGCCCGCTCACGTTTGGCGAGTTCTTCGGACAGGTCCTGGTAGAAGTCGACGAAGTGTCGCTCATCTTTGCAGCACTTGTGGTGTGTGTCGACCATCAAACGCAGTGTGTGGTCACCCACCTACACACACGGATGAATCAACAGTCAGGCAGGCAGGCAGGCAGAGCCGCTTACCTGATCGAGGCTCCGATGGTTGATGATCCCTCCCAGCGCCTCAATTTGCTCCAGCTGGGGCGTGCAGATCACATTCCTACACACATTGATTGATACACACCATTCCATAGAGTGGACACACGAGTGCTCGCTCACACAAGTCCTTCATTCAAGCTTCTTTCTGCCCGACTGCATCTAACCACACACACACATACTCACTCGTAGGTCCATCCGTCTTGAAGGCCGCTGTTGACGAGCGCGTTGGCCACGAAGTTTTCGAAGATGGCAAATGCGTTGACCTTCTCAATCGTGGACAGGTAAGTGTAAAGCCAGCCGTCTATAATCAGATCCTTCTCCCCCACAAGGCGCTCCCACAACGCCTCTCCCACAAGCTGTCCAGACGTTTGACCTTCCTCAGCATGGCGCCAGGTGGCTACCCGCTGAAATATTCTTTGCCGTGGCTGGGCGAGAGGCTGAACGGACGGCACCAGGTGCCTGTGAAAGGGCTGATGCGACATGATGCGGTGCGAGGGGAGAAAGGCAACGGCCGGCGGCATTGCCGAGGATGTGAGAACCCAAAACAGCAGCAGAGTGACCATACGAGCGCAGATCATGCAGCGGTTTCAGGCAGCATCCTAGGTGGCCTGACGGCCAAGTCCCCTGTCGGTCTGTCCAACATGAAACAGGCACCCTAACATGCAACCCGGACACGCAACACGCAGCACGCAGAGGGCAGATGCAGCAGAGAGGAGGATATGCAATGCGCTGCGAACGACGGCCGCATACATGCAGATCATGGCCATGTCGTCTGGTGGTCATTCGCTCCATGCATTCTAGGACACAAGGCAGTATGGGAGCACCCACTCGGTCAAGCTGTGGCACTAACTGAGCCGTCTGAGAGGAGGGGAACGGGACGCTCCATCGCAGCTGACGCGGTCTTCAATAAAACGACTGCAGCAAGCACCAACAGCGCCCGTAGCAGCTGAGCCAGATGTGGAAAGGAGGTCCTCTTCAATGCGAGCTTGGCTGCGAGCTCACCATGCAGGAAGCGACCAAAACCAATGATAGAAGCATCACACGGCCTGACCCATCCGCTCCCTGCAGCCAGACGTCCGAGATCTGAAGTCGCACTCATCCATCCGACGAGGCGGCCGCTATGGCGCAAACTACTCATCGTACTCAGCGCATCTGTGGGCGTGTGGCGGCTCCTGAGGCTGTTTGCGGCGTGGAGGAAGCGAAGGAAACACCGGCAGGTGTCATCACGGCAAACGGTGCCGGGAACGATGTTGCCTCACTTCATCGTCAACAGCAGGTAAATGGCCCACCGAAGCGTAGAGAGTACGTGTGATGGGCACCTACCTCTACCTCTTTTCTGTCACGACTGAATGCTTCTTTCTTTGGCTGGCTCCCGACCCAGGGGATTGTGGCTGCACACGAGGTTCTGGCCAGCCCAGGGGGTGGTGGGTGAGTCGGATGGGTTCGCCAAGGGCGTCGTCTTCATTATACATGGATACGGTACTGAGTGAGGCAGGCTGGCAGGCTGGCAGTAAGACAGGGGTTGCATCGTTAATTGCGCGTGTGTGTGTGTGCGTGTGTGTCATGTCTGTGTGTGTATGTAGCTGAGCACTGCGGGCGATACGAGCACGTTGCTACGGCTCTCACGCAGCAGGGACTCGACGTGTTTGCACTGGTGGGTGGGCGAGCTGGCAAAGAAAGACCGAAACCACCGGGCTCAATCCAATCAAGGGGCACTCACTCACGTCTGTCTACACACTGTCATTCACCTCACCTATGGTTGGTTGGTGTCCGTCCGTCCGCCCATGGCTGGATGGCTGGATGGCTGTATGGCAGGACCACATGGGTCATGGGCAGTCCGACAGTGCGTGGGGCCGGCGGGGGCTCTTATGGAACTATGAGTGGCTTGTAGAGGACGTACTGCTGCTCGTCCACACAGGTATGTAAACATACCGCAGTCCCGCCTGACACACTTCAGATCGATTGCCTTCTTTCCCGTGTGTGCAGTCCGCAGCCGGTATGTATCCCGGTGCCCGGGAGTGGTCCCTCCCGAGGCCTCTGGTGATGGTGACAGCGGTGCAGCCAAGCTGCAGCCGCGGGCAAATGTGCCCCCATTCCACCTGCTGGCTCACTCCATGGGCGGACTCATCGGCATACATGTGCTTGCGAAAGTGAGATTTAGGGCATGTCACGTGTGTGTATGCTGGCGCGTGCGTGAGAGTCGAAATATTTGCTTTGTGTTCTGAGCAGGAGCCGGAAGCATTTTCGTCTGCTGTGCTGATCGGGTCCCTAATTCGTGGGCCTGCTGAGCTGGAGATGCTGCGGAAGCCCATGCACCCCCTGCTGGGCCCTTTTGCAGCCGTGCTGCACACAATCGCACCCTCAGTGAGATGGATGGATGGATGGATGGGGAGAGGGCAACTCAGATTAGCCGTGTGTGTGTCCGTGTTGGTGTCTCTGTGGTTTGTGTGTGTGTGTTTCAGTTGGGTGTCAAGTGCTTAGATCTGTCGACGTTGTGCCACACTCCCTGCGCCTTGGAGCAGTACATCGAAGACCCGTTGGTGGAACTGGGGCCAGTGCCGCTCAGGTGAAGAAAGGACCCATCGTGGTCGGCACATAGACCATGCCGCTGCGTCTTGTTTGGACAGGACGACTTATGAGTTCCTCCGGGCGTCGGATGCGGCAATCGATGTGGCAAAGGTGCGTGCGCCACCACACACACCCACACAGACAAATGGAGGCGCAACACGCACGCATCGATCTGACGCTGCTGTGTGTCTGTCTGTCTGTGTAGGATGTGCGGTGTCCTGTGTTGTTTCTACATGGCGAGGCGGACCGCATCACCCAGCCAGCGGGGTCACACCTGCTCTACGGTGCGTGCGGCAGCCGAGACAAAAACCTCCACATCGTACCTGACGGATACCATGGTAGGTGCAGTGCACACACAACACATTGACCATGTCCAGTCCAGTGGGGCATGTCATGTGTGTATGCTATGCTTGGTGCTGCTGATATATCGGGTCGGGTGCAGATCTGCTGAATGAGCCCGGGTGGGCGGAGACCTGCCGGGAGGTGTGCGAGTGGTTTGTGCAGAAGCAGCAGATGAATGAGTCCTGGCAATCGGCCACCTGATGGATAAATGGATGGATGGCATTTACTGACGATAAGACCCATCTCATCTACACTTCACCGACCAACAGTGCTGCCATGCGTGGATATTCAGATGTCTACACCCATACAGACACGCGCGCAAAGACAAGAAGCCTCCCTCCAAAAACAGCGCCATCGCCGCCACTGCGGCTATCTATCTCACGCATATGGTCCTCCCGTTGACCTCCCGCCTCCCCTCCACCCCCACCCCTCCCTCCTCGCTCGACGCCCCAACCGGCGACCCATCCACCGTCTCCCTCTCGGCATAATCCACACCTGGACCCAACCGCGCATGCGGCGACCCATCCCTGTCACCCTTGCTGCTGCTGAGGCTGCCGTCGCACCACGCCTCGCTCGTCGGCATGGGGATGACCGTGTCGGCCGCATGTGGCCGCTCATCATCACCTTGGTGTGCATTGGCGTGTGGGTGTGGGTGTGGATGGATCTGCATGGCGTTGGGCGATGTGGGGTGGGATCTGCTGTTGGTGGGGAAGGACGTGCCGTCGCTGAGTGGGCGTCGTGGCCGGATGGGGACGAGCCAATCAAAACCAGGTGAGCCGAACAGCTGCTCGAGGTTCTGACGCCAACCGACGTTATAGGGATTCTGAAACGCAGAAAGAAAGAAGAGGACAGACAGGTGGTGTTGAGTTGAGACAGCTGATGAGTCAATCGGCCAGTGCCTCTGCGTGTGTCTGTTGTGTACTTTTCCGGGATAGCCCGCTTCGATGGATGTAAAGTTCTGTAGCACCATGATCACATGGCCCACGAACAGCTGCACACAGGCCAGGCGACCAAGGGAAATGGTGACGATTCTTCTCCTTTGGATGGATCAGTCTGTGTGTGGTGCGATGATGCGATAGCCTTACAATGAATAGAGCGATGCCGAAGGCAGCGGCAAAGATGCATGCTGACCAATGCGACACAACACCACACACATGAACTGATGTGTGGCTCTTAAGAAAGAAGAGCACTATGTCACACGATTGCCCACCGAGCATGAAGCCACTCCACCACAGCAACCCAACACCCTGGATGCAGCAATGAGGAATGCAGACACACACACACACACACACGGTAGACGCGTGTGCATGCGCCTTCCTGTCTGCCTGTCTGCCTGTGTGTGCGTGTTACCGCTTTTTTGATGAGCAGGCCGATGTCTGAGAATGCCACGAGGAACGTCGACAGGCTGGTGGCCACCACATATATACACACCAACGAGCCCCACAGACCCAGCAGCAGGAAGAACCTCACACACACACACAGCACAAAGCATTGCATTCATGAAAAAGATCTGTGTGACGGACGCATGGCTACCTACTTGTGGTTGGTAAACCCCACGCAGTTGCCGATCCATGGACCTACACGCGGATCATACACACACACGGGGCCGACAAACACCGTGGGCTCCCTCTCTTTTCCATGAGTGGTTCTTCTTTCCCGCCCCCCTCACACACAGTGATGGTCCATTCGCATAACACACCGACCACACACCTGCACGACCGACAAACGCACATGAATGAATGCATATCCTTCATTTGTATGCCAACCAATATATCGATACTCTCTCTCCTCTGCTGTGTGATTATCCCTCCCTCCCTACCGAGCAGTGGTGCGCCCGTTCGGGCCGCACATCTGTACACTTATGGCACCACCCCATGTGCCCCGGTGCCCACGACCGCATCGGCTTCTGCGCCTCCTCCTGCCGCAATCGCGCCCAGTACGTCCATGCCTCGGGGGGAAACCCGGGGGCTGCAGACAGACAGACAGACAGACGGACAGAGACCCATCTGCCAGATAGATATCTGCGTGAGTGCGTACACACGTGTGAATGCGGCGGCGATGTAGCTCCAGAAAGCGAGCGTCCACAGAAGGGCGAAGAAGACGCCGGCCACTATCGACTGCCACTCCTTCAAAGGACGGACGCACAGACAGCAGCCAGCACATTTGAATGAACGAACCAAGGCAAGGAGGTACAGGTGCGCGCGTCTTACCCTGGCGTAGTACAGCCATAAGATCTTGTAGCAGAAGATGACTGCACCGCACACAGCCACACACCACAGAACAGACAGAGGATGTGTTTCCGCGTTATGTGCGAGTGTCTGTTCTGTGGGCCTACAAAGATAGCTGAAGGCTTCTCCGACAAAAATGGCCACGATGAACAGCACCGGACACCATGACAGCGTCGATACCAGCCTGTTGGCTGAAAACTGTAACAACCAGTGAGACGAAAGCAGAGACGAACACAGTGACAGAGAATGGCAGGAAAACGTCACTCCCTGACTGTCGTACCATTGGTCTGTTGTCGTGTAGCGTGAGCTATCAGCCTCCTTCTGTGTCCGAATGCCGGCTCAGCTCCAACTACTCGGCTTGAAGGCCACCAAATATATGACGTCAAATGCGAACGCTGAGCATCAATATCATGCCATTCCTTTCTTCTCTTCCTTCTTCCTCCAATTCTCTTCTCTTCCTTGTAGGGGGTAGCGGTTTCAGGGAGCGCCCTACATGTGCGAGCCGGTGGGGCCCAAAAGGGAGCGTTGAAATGAAAGGGGGACGACCAGACACCTGATCTACGAGTCCCACACGAAGGCCACAACCAACACAAAGCCCAAAAGGGAGAAGCGGACGATGAACAGAGAGGAGGTCAGGAGTTTCAGGAAAGGAATGATTCAGACGGAGGCGGACGGCGCTCAATACGAGAGCGTGAGAGAGGTACGCACCGCACCGCATGAAACGTGATGCGAGGCACACACGCAAGCTGATACGTGCGATTGCATGGCTGCTCTTTGATCATCAGCTGCATCGCAACCCATTCTACATGCGGCTGTGGGGTGAGTGTCACGAGGGAGGGGAGAAGACACCGGTGCACTCATTGTCAATCAGTGCATTCATTCATCTGTGTGTGTTCGCAGACAACGCCGGCGGCCCTTTGACGGAGCTCAAGGGCTACCTCGCCTTCGCGCGGTTTTACAAGGCGTGGATTGATAAGGAAGGGGCCGTCTCGGTGCTGTGGGAAAGAGCGGTGCAGCTTGGCGACCAGCCAAAATCGCGGTGCCCTCAGGGAGACGGCAAGAAAGAGCTCATGAGGACCCTTCTGGGGCTCATCAACCGATCGGCCGACGACAACCTGACATTCGTGGAAGCGCTGCACGAGGCGGCCCTGATGGACCTCTATGAGGCGAGAGTGGCGCTGGTCTATGCGCTGCGGAATACGGAAGGCTCTTTTCATCAGGTATGTAAGTATGTGCACCATACCATCATATGTGAGTGTTCTGCAACATTACATTCGCTCTCGCAGGTCGTGCACAACGTCAGCAACACGAAGGGCAAGGACACGATCAGAGTCCACTGCTGCAACCAGATGTCGGTCTGGATCCTCCGGCCGCTGCTGGAGCAGCGCCACAACATCTCGTTCAGAACACAGCGAATATTCAACCTCACACAGGGGAAACTTCTCACCGATCCCTCGGAGAAGCTCTCCCCGTCATTTGGCCCTGTTTACGTCGTCACCAAGGCCGAGGACCCCTTGATTATCAACACGGAAGGCCACAGCGTCGAGGAGGCCTTTTGCAAGAAACTTAGCGGCTTCATGGCTCGTTGCAACCGCGACCGCGCATTTCTGGCGGAGTGGCGGGAAGCCGTGCAGCTGCTGGAGAGGCTCCGGCTGCCGAGTGGGGGCTCGAGGAACGACCTGTATGCAGTGACTGACCTGCTGCTGGAAACCAATCAGGTAGGTACCTGCTGCGGGGCCCTGGGGTGGGGGAACACACATGGAAGTCCGCATGACGCATTTATTTATGTCTCTGTCTCAGCGGCGGAATGACGACGCTGAGTTTGCATTTGCTATGCTCAAGTGGGTGGTGGACGTCAAGCGTCTCCACCCACAGCTCGAGAGGCTCATTGACGCCTGGATTGCCGACCCATGGATCATGACCCTCCTCAACTACACCGAAAAGACCTGCTGGCGGGCGACAGCCGAGCTGAAGTGTGTCACGATGGGCTACCGCGGTCTGAGAGGCGCATTGCAGGACGCACACCGAGGCGGTCGAAGCGGCCTGGGTACCTAAACAAACACAGACAGTGACACCCGTACGTGTATTGTGCTTGTTTGTTTCCAGGATTCCCCTTCCCAATTCCAAGCTTCAAGGGAAGAACTGAGTTGATGAGGAAGGAGCTGAAGATTAAGGCAGACAAGGGCATTCCCGATCAAGAGCTGCGCCCATCCAAATCACACTCGGCCCTGGACGCCCTCAAGAAGAGTAAATGGCCAGGACAAGAAGAACAGCAGCAAGACACCGCGCCAGAGAGGAAGGGAAGCGAGACACAGCCCGCCGAGCAGAGCGCCTGCGGTGCAGAAGCGGAGCCCGCCGGCCAGGTGGATGGCATCAGTGAGCTTGGAGACGAAAGAAAAGACAGGAAGGGCACCAGGAGGGCGGGAGCCAAGAGCAAGAAGAAGTGATTAGGGAGACAGAGGAGAGGAAAGGTGAATGACCAGCCGATGAGAGAGTTTCCATGATGTGACCGGCCCTTCAGTTGTACCATTGGCACTTCGTGCGCTTCTTTCTGCTTCTTGAGTCCCTCATCGAGGTTTCGGCGACTGCGGGCGGTTCACGCATGGCATAGAGCGAGTGGCCTCACGGCCTCACCCACCCCTCCGTCTACATTCTGTCTGTCTGTATGTCTGTCTATATGTCTGCCCACACGTATGATTCGTCATGGCCGTTGCCCTCCCTCGTCTGCCTCCTCCTCGACCCCAATCCGCACCTCACCCCCCACATAATAGTTGCGAGACATCGACGCGGACAGAGCGGGGGGGGAGGAGAACAGCCGCGTGCCGCCTTCGTCGCCCGGCTGCTCGTCCGCATCAGCACTCTCAGACTCGTCTACCCCCTCTTGGTCTTCTTCTCCTTCTGTCTCCTCTTTGATGATGACCTCTGTGTCAGCTCCCTCTGGATGGATGGCCTCTTCAGGAAGATCTCCGGGGGTGGCTGGCTGGCCGATCATCATCGGTGCTGGCGCTGCTCGGTGGCGTGGAGACATGAGCAGCGTCGGGGGGCCAGGTGGGGGAGGTCCAGGCGCCCATGTAGTTTCAGGGGCGGTCACGCGGCCCGGACTGATCGGTGTGCCCTCCTCTGCGACCTCATGGGAGGCTCCTTCCTCCTGCAGTGCAGATGGATGGTGGACCCGTCGAGATGGATGGGAGTGCCTGTTTCTGGCTGAGTGTGTGGTTTGTTTGCACACCTGTGGCCGTGTTCTCAATCGCGGGGCGGCTGGCTCGCCCTTGGGCTCGCCTGGCGTGAAGGTCGACGGCACCGCGGGGATGCTCTCTTCCACGACGACCGGCGACGGCTCCTCTTCAGTCTGCGCCACTGGGACCTGCAGATGCGCAAGAGAGAGAGAGAGACGAGAGAGATGGTAGGTAGACACAAATCATAGCTACTCGAGCTCGAAGGTCAGTCATCGTAGCAGTGGCTTTGCAGGGCTGCAACAGGTAGCCCCACAGCGCCTAAAGGGAGGCAAAGACAGCACACACAGTCGCATATGATCAGATAGGAAGCTGTCTTGAGTATGTCAGTCAGTCACTACTGACATCTCTCCACTTGGGAGGCATGAGTGCGATCGCCAGCAGCAGCAGAGAGACGAAGCACACGAGGAAGAGCAGCCCGCCGTATGTGCCGGCAGACATCCCACCGTCCTCGAGCTGCACCCCTTTGTCCTCCAGCCTCGTCTCGCACCCAAGACTGCACGCATGATTCATTTTCCCAAATGTCATATCAGCCCCTGCAGTCCTCCCGCTCTCTCTCTCTCTCTCTCTGCTGGTCATTGCTCACCCTGCCCACAGATTGTCGCAGTGACACAGCCCTTGTATCGTGCACACGCCCCTCCCGCTGCACAAAGCACACACACACACACACACACACATGGACAGAGACGAGTGCACTGGTCAGAATAAGGCGGTGCGGATGCTTCATCGCTCACGAGCAGTTGTTTTGGCATGTCAGTGCGGCATAGCCAGGCGGAAGAGGCGCTGTCGAGGCCATCCTTCGGTAAAAAATCAAATCAAGAGCTCACCGACAGTCACCGCCAGTCACCGCCACTCAGTCTCGCCTTGGAAGAGGCCGAGTGCTGGCACTAAGTCAGTCGTGAATCCAGGGTCGAATAGGCCGAAGGCAGAAGCAGCAGTGCAAGGACAGCACTGGGCAGTGGTAGCACAGCACAACGCCCTTCCAAACGCCAGCCTACGACGCCAGCCAGCACGGAGGAGCGCTGCTGTGCTGTTTTGAGATCGTGGTCACACACACGTCCTCTCCTGTTCATTCATTCACCTGCGAGCTCAGCTGCAAGATTTCGAATCGCTAGGGTTTGTAGGGTTAAGTTGTACGGAGGACGCACCAAGGCCGCAGACCTCACTACTCCACCACGCACAGCGGTCGCGAAGGCTTCTCCGAGAAAAAAGGAACGGGAAGGACCCAGGATCTGTCTGACTGCCGCCGCTAGGCTCAGCTTTGCCACGGTGATGCCTGACGAGGTCAGCCATGCTTCCCCTTCCACCCGGCTGGCGGTGGCGCCCTCGCCAAACAACTACAAGACCATGATGTCTTCCACCTCAGTCACCGGTACGCCCCGTACACAGACACAGACACAGACACACGGACGCAGATCGCTCGGCGGTGGTTGACGTGCGTGTCTGTCTGTTGTGGATATCTGTCTGTGTGGTACCATTCAGGTTCGTTTGATGCCTACGACCCCGAGAAGTCGCTGCCTCACCCGCTGCTGCGGTGGTCCCTCTGGCGAATTGGCCTGACGCTCATCTACGGCACCGTGTGGATACCCCTCGCCCTCGTCACTTTCCTCGTCGATCAGGTACGTACGCTGGTGTGTTCACCCACCAGACAGACCATGTGGATATATGAGTGGCTGGGTGTACGTTCCGATTTGACGGTGCGTGTGTGTGTGTGTGTGTGACTGTCATCAGCTGTTTTGGTGGCTGACGATGCCTCTGTGTTGGATCATGCCCTGCACAAACGGCACCAAGAGGCTGCCCCCAGTCAAACCCAGCGACGAAAAGTACGGACGGACAAGCGGCTGCGATAGTATCCCGGGGACACGCCCTGGTGTGTCTGATGTGTAGGTATGCCTTGGTGACGGGCGGCGGTCACGGCATCGGTCGGGCCATCTCGGAGGAGCTCGCCAAGAGGAAGTTCAACCTCATTCTAGGTCCGCAAACACACACAGACGAACTAACTGCCACATGACATGTCGATCGATGTGTCTGTGTCTGGTGTGGGTCGCTCAGCTGCGCGCAACCAATCCAAGCTGACTGAGGCTGCCGAGGCTCTCGCCGAGAAGTACAGCGTCAAGGTGCTCACCCTCCCCGCCGACCTCGGTAGGCTGACGAAGAGCACCCAGAGCATCTCTGTGTGTCGCGCGTATTATGTGTGTGTGTGTTTGTGTCGACGACAGGTGTTGCGGGTGGCGCTGAGAAGCTTCATCGTGACGTGAACGACCTGCTGCTGACAAAGGGAGACGACCACCACGTGGCCATTCTGGTACACACACGCACAGAGAGACAAACACACATCCGTGTGCAGAGAGGCAGACGCACATGGATGGCCATGTTGGTCTGTGTATGGCGTGATGGCAGGTGAACAACGCTGGTCGTCTGAACCGCTCGGCCTACCTCTCTGAGGAGCTGAGTGGCATCATGTCGATGACCCAGCTCAACTCCATCTCATACGCCATACTCATGCGCCTCTTTGGAGAAGACATGGCCAAGTGCGTCGCGTTACACACACGCTCATCCACACACACGCACACACGCGGTGGTCATCCCCTCTTCATCTCATCTGCTGTGTGTCTGTGGATGCAGGCGTGGGTGCGGCAGGATACTGAACAACGCCTCGGTGGTGGGATGGCTACCCGGTCCAAGCTGCGCCATGTACCATGCTACCAAGGTACGTACGTAACGACTATCTATCGAGGGAGGCCTCTTCTCGTCTCGTGCGCCCTTACATCCTCTCCCCCTTTGCACACACTCCTCCATCCATCCCTTCACCCAGGCATTTGTGGTGAGTCTGTCCCAGTCAGTGGGCTACGAGCTGCGCCCTCACGGCGTGGGCGTCACATGCCTCACGGTACGGCGAGGAAGGAGCAGCGACAGATGGCACTCCCACTCATATGGTGCTCTCGTGCATCTCTCTCTCCCCTCTGTGTGTGTGTGTGTGTTTAGCCCCCCGGCACCAAGTCGTCCCTCTTCGCCGGCGAGGCGGAAAACGCCCTCATTGGTCAGTCAGCACACACCCACAGCACCGCCAGCACTAGCAGATTTGTGTGTCTGTCTCTTCGTTCTTGGCATCTATCCATCCATCGACCTGTCGATCAGCGCACGACATGCTGACGGAGAAGACCGAGAAGGTCGCTGCGTTCGGTGTGCGGCGGCTGATGAAGGGTGCACGCCTCGCGGCCCCTGGCGGGTTTTCGTTCTTCATCGACGTGGTGTCGCGGTGCATGCCCGAGCCCATCCTCCTTTACGTGAGGACAGCACTCACACATACAGAGAGAATATGGATGGCAACACAGACAGGGCGATGTTCCTTCATCATCATGTGTGTGTGGTACCTTCCTTGATCAGTTTGCGCACCTAGCGTGGTGGCCTCTGGACAACCTGCTGGACCCGCGCGACTGCAACAAGACGCTCGAAGCACAGAGGCCCAAACACGATGCAGCATAAATCGAAGGGCGGGCCGGGCCTCACTACTCATCCCACCTGCAATGATGCGGCCACCTTGATCCCCAAATGGGTCGGTCACGCAGCAATTACTCACCCCCCCACCCCACCCCACCCCACCCCACCACACACGTACCGACAGACAGGCGCCTAGCTGTTGAGTAGCTACCTTACGGACACCGCATTCATATGCAATGCACTCCTTTGCGTGTGGGGCGGGCCACAAAGCTGGCACACCGAGACGGACGGCGGTGAGAGAGCGATAGATAGAGGATTGGTCGGTGGATTGGTGGATGGATGGACGAACGGGTGGGTTGACGAATTTGTTCATGTGTGTGTATGTGTATGTGTACCTAGCTTGTACGTACCTCTACCCTACCTGTGTGCATGTGTGCATGTGTGTGTATGTATGTGTGTATGTATGTTTGCATGTCTGTGCGAGTGGGGCGGCTGGCTGCAGCGAGTGACTGAGTGAGGGAGGGGGGGGGGAGGGGGTGTCATTTGAAAGATGTATGTATGTGTATGTTATGTAATCGAGTTGCTGTCAGTCAGCCAGCCAGCAAGGAAAGAGAGAATAAGAGAGGGGACAGACATGTCTGCCTGCTCCTGCGCGCATACGCGTGGGTTTTCGCCACATGTCTATCTATCTGCGTCGGCTGCGACCATCCATCCCCAGAGAGAGCAACCGACCAACGATCGATCGATGGGTTTTTTCCGAGTGAATCCCTCCCTAGCTTTGTCAGTACGTCAATCTGCTTTTTTCCCTTACAGACATGCCATGCACCTTAGCTTAGCGAGACTGAATGTGCTTGCATGGCATGGATGTGTGGGGTTTTCAGCTTGGAGCGATGATATGTATGGGATGGATGCATTTGGCACGATGCTCTGGCAGCGGCATCTGTGGGTGAGGGACGGACGGATGGGATGGGGGGAGCGATTATTTGCTGTGAAACGTTGAGCCTGTGGGTGACGGACTGACTGACGCACCGCTCATACCTACGTGTGAGGACAGATTGGTTGAGCACTGAGGTGGCTCCTGATCATGTTTGTGCATGCATTGAATGGATGGATGTATGGGTCATGTGCAGTGCGTGTGAGGGCCTTCTTGTCTGCCTGTCTGGGGTGTGTGGGGGGTGTTTGGGGGGTTGGGGAGGGGCGAGATGATGTAATGTATGTGTTTTGTGAGGGTGGGTGAAGGCGACACGAGTCATTTTTGCCTTCTCCCTCGGTGAGTGGGCATGTTTGGCTCGGTCTGTCGCATCACTTTCTCTGCATGTGTTTCTTGCGTGTGTGCACATGTCGTGTTTTGTGTGTCGATTGCATTGCACATATAGTTGGTTGGTTGGGACCACTCTGTCTTTACCTGTGTACCTGTACGTACGTATGTGTGCGTGTGCGTGTGAGGTGCATTGCACTGCATGTCATGACATGTCATGTGATGTCAGGTGTATTTATGGACACTGTGACAACGCTTAAAACTTACCGCATTCACTCACTCCCTAAGCTACGCAGCACTGGCCGCAAAAATGCCTTGGGTCTCACTCACTGGTCGGTTAGCTAACCAAACACACATCCATCCATCCATCCAAGCATGCATCTTATCATCTGTACCCCCAGAACCGGTTCGCCGCCTCCGAGATGCCATCGACTGGCGCCACGAGCATCACATTGTCGCCCCGCACAAACAGCGACCGCAGCTTGCGCCTCCTCTCCTCCACACGCACACCACGCCGGGTCAAATCGGCAGTGGCCGGCTGGTAGATGACCTCCACCACATTGCTCAGGAGCAGGGACCAGTGCTTGTCATAGGCCACGGGCAGGCCCGTCACCGTCGACCTCACCGCCGCCTTGCCGCGGGCGTTGGACCGCACCCACACACGGACGTACTCCTGGTTCCTGACGTACTGCCCGATGGCCCCGAGCGGCCCCTGGCTCTTGCTGCCGATTTCGCCTCGCAGCCAGCAGGCCGCCCTCTCCTTGGTCTCCTTGACGCGCTCACGGATCCGGCTGAGCTTCTGCTTCATGTGATCGCCCATCTTCCTCCCCTGCTGCGGCTGGTCCTTCTGCTGACTGTCGGGGGCCTGCTGCAGGGAGAGGTTGTATGGCGGCGCCAGCTGGTCCTGGAGCTCCCAGGGCAGCAGCAGGTTGCACTGCACGATGGTGTCGAGGTTCTTCTGCGGCTTCAGGGGCGGGGCGAGGGACGGGTGCCGCAGCGCCAGCAGAGGCTCGAACTTGTCCGAGAAGAAATCCAGCCGCTCGTCAGCAGTGGCGGCCACACGCGAGAGGGCCGTGCGCGCCTCCTCCTCGCTGTCATCGCTTTCACTCGACGACAACACGGGCCCTTCGCCGTCCGCCGCCGTGACCTTTTCAATCTCCTCCTTGACAGCGTCGGCAATGTCATGGTCCAGGCTGGCCCCCGGTATCCATCCGGTCTCATCGTCAGAGTCCTCCGGCACTGGGATGTCCTCAGGCAGCACTGCCGGTGCCTGCTGCTGCTGGTGTTGGTGGTGTGGCTGGAGGGATGATGGTGGGCGGCCCAGGAGGGAGGGAAGGGGACGGGGCAGCAGGCCTCGCTCGGACGACGGGCCGGAGGAGGCGCGTCGACGAGATGTCATCAACTCTCTTCGGTTGCTGTTGTTGGGTTGGCAACAAGAACGAGCACTTGGCTCGTGTCAAGCGACACGCCGGACGCCGCGCGGGATTTGAGCTCCGGCGTCAATGCCGGGATCCACCAAGCAGATCTGTCGGATCTCTCAACAGAGATGGCTCCAAATGCTGTCGTCGTCCTGGGGAGATCCTTTGCTCCTTTTCTTTCCTTCTCTTCTCTCCCCCTTCGTCTGCGAGCTTTTTTGCGAGCTTGACATTCGTAGAAGAAGGAGTAGCTGAAAGCGCTGGGTGGCCCACACACACAGGTTCACGGCAGCAGGTTTGCAACATAATCACCGATGAGTGAGTCGGCACAGAAGCGGCAGGGGCGGGCGGCCGAGGGAGAGGGAGAGGAGCAGGGCAACGAGGAGACCATGGTGGACGCAGATAGCCAGCACCACCACCACCACCACCAGCAGCAGCAGCAGCAGCAGCAGGCCACGCCATCGCACAGCATAGATTTGGAGGCCTTTGCTCAGCACTTCAGCCAAATCGTAAGCTGCACCAAACGAAACACTGGCAAACGCACAGATGCTCATCGCTCCCTTCTTTGTGTGGTGTGTGTTGTGCACTCAGCCGGTTGTCGTCGCCTACGTCTTCTCGTTCGTGTCGCTTCATTTGGTGGCGGCGCTGCCCCAGCGGCTGTGGCGCCACGTCAGCTGCCAGATCACCCAGCTGGTCATGGACATCTACGACACGGCCGAGCGGCGCTTCTGGTGCGGCCTCTCATTCGCTGACGCCTTCGAGTGGGGCCGGCGGCTGACACGGCTCAAGTCCGTTGTCGTCCGGTATCCCCGTAGCCTTCGCATCCCAAGAGGGCCACACGCTTATGACTACCGCAATCTGTCGCCGGTGATCGACAAGATCGTCACGGCATTGGTGGAGGGGCACAGTGAGGGGCGGAGAGCCGCAGCGGCCACAGCAGCCGGGCAGCAGGCGGGGACCACCTTGGAGTCCATAGAAATCGGGAAGGGCGAATCGATCATAGTCGTCGACAATGCCGAGGTCCGCGATATCCAAGCTGCGACGGAGCCGTTGGCGGCTCTCCCCCCTCCCATGTACATGCCCTCTCCCTCCCTCTCTCTGCGTGTGTGTGTGCACTGTCCCCTTTCATGTCAGCTTTTGCTGTTGGAATGAAGACCAAACGTGCCGAAAAAAGCCAGTCCGAGCGCATGGACACACATGGACAATCTTACCGTTAACCACCACCCCAAAAAAGCCATCGGTTCTTGAAGTTGCCAGCAATGAGCGATTGGAGGCGGCACCGAAGCGGCAGAGGCGGGCTGAGGGAGAGAAGGATGCTAACGAGGATGCTAACGTTGGCAACGGCCAGCAGCACCAGCACCAGCACCAGCACCAGCTCCAGCAGCAGCAGCAGGCCACGGCATCGCACACCACACATGGCATAGATCTGGAGACCTTTGCTCAGCACTTCAGCCGAATCGTAAGATGCACCAAACGAACCACTGGCAAACGCACAGATGCTCCCTTTTTTGTGTGGTGTGTGTTGTCCACTCAGCCGGTTGTCGTCGCCTACGTCTTCTCGTTTCTATCGCTTCATTTGGTGGCGGCGCTGCCCCAGCGGCTGTGGCGCCACGTCAGCTGCCAGATCACCCAGCTGGTCATGGACACCCACGACACGGCCGAGCGGCGCTTCTGGTGCGGCCTGTCATTCGCTGACGCCTTCGCGTGGGGCCGGCGGCTGACACGGCTCAAGTCCATCGTCGTCCAGTACCCCCATGCCCTCCGCATCCCACGAGGAACCTCAGGGCCGCGGCCGTTCGATGATTATGACTACCGCACTTTGCCGCTGGTCACCGATAGGATCGTCACGGCATTAGTGGATGGCCACTGCGATGCGCCCCGAGCCACGGCAGCAGCAGGCCAGACGGAGCCAGCGGGGGGGACCCTCGAGGCCATCGAGTTCAGCAAGGGCGACCTGTCCATAGCCGTCGACGAAGACGAGCGTCGGGATATCAGACGTGCCAGACAGCGATTGGCGACGCCCCTCCCCGCTCCCCTCGACCCGCCCCCCACCCTCATATCCCTCACATCCATCACAGGCGTCCGCGGGAGATATCAGGGTTCCTGTCCCGGCCGCGGGCGCCATTGGCAAGTTCCGTCACTCGAGAGGGTGCAGATAGACGGGGTTGTGGTGCCGGAGCTGTTGGGGGAGCTGGTGCGGACGTCGAGACGCCTGAGGGAGCTGCACGTGAGCTGCGTCCCGGACCGCATTGCCGAGTCGCTGGCGCAGATCCCCACGGCAGCGGATGGGCAGACGGGCCCTCTGGCGCAGCTGGAGGACATAGGCACCATCGCCCTCTGGGTCAGGGACGAGGATGGCCCCTATAGGTTTGGAGAGTGGCGGGCCGGGCTGCAGCGCCTTCAGGTGCGTCACAAACCACACAAAACGAGAGACTGAATCCAGTGGCTTGCTCATGGGTTCCGTATGTCTTTCTGCAGACGGTCCTTGTCGACCGTGGATGTCGCTCCATCAAGAGGCTCAGCTTCGATTGCGACGTGCCCATCGACAGCCGCATCTTCGAGACCCTGTCGACCATCGAGACCTTCATTCGCACCCTGTGTGAGAGGCCCGACATCCCCGTTGACATGAAGATCGACGAGGAAGACTGTAGCGAGCGCGAGCCTTTCGACCTTGGCCTCCTGTGTGAGGTCCCCACCCGCCCCGCCCCCTCCACCTTCGTGCAGAGACACATCCAGCAGATGGCCGCCGCATCAGAGAGTGCCTGCTTCACCATCCGCCCCCACCATCTCACCACCCCCGGCCCTCTCGACACACCCAGCCCCGCTGCCATCGCCCTCGCACAGCGCCTGACCTTCTCCAGGGCGACGACCGTGGAGGTGGTGGACCCGGACGATTGGGCGCCCGACGATGACGCCGAGCAGCCCGACCCGATTGTGCTCGACAGAATGCCACACAAGGCATTCCCCGCCGCATCGCATCTCGTGAGCCACGGCGAACATGGGCTCGCGATTGCCCGGAGGCTGGTGGCCGAGATGCCGGCAGTTAGACACATTCGGCTGTCGGTGACGGCGACAGAGGCGGATGTGGTGGGGATGCTGCAGGCGGTGGGCGGGGACAGACACTTAGAGCACTTCGATGCCGGCCGGGTGACGGGTGTGGGCGAGGGGGGCCTGACGTGGGGGGACATAGCCGAGCAGCTGCCGGCCGTCGCAGAAGTGATTATTACTGTAGAAGGTGGGCTTCAAACAATCACCTCCCCCAGCTCTTTTCCACCTGCTCACGGTTGTGTTGAGTGCTGCCTGCTTGTGTGAGCAGTGCCCGAGGATTTGGGCGATGGCGATGCCGCCGGCGAGTTCGGCATCGCCTGTGTCAAGTCGCTGCTCAAGATCCGCGACATCAAGCTCACCTTCCGGCCGCTGTCGTCCGCTGCCTTCAAGCGGCTGGTGGAGGAGCGGACGAATGGCGATAGCATAGAGGGCCTTCCTGGACGGTTTCACATCTCGTGGGGGCGGTTGAATGCTCTATCTCTCAAGCCTTTAGACGTGTGACACAGAGGACAGGTGTCACGATGGATGCACGCTCTCATGCGTGGCTGATGCGGGCGGGGTAGACTGCATGGACCGCGTACTGACATTCTAGATGTCTCAATTGCGTGTCGAATGCTCCCTTCTTTGCGCACGAGCTCAACACACATTCATCTATCTGCGTCAAAAAGATGGACTGGCCACGCCTATTATGAGTGAAAGAAAGCTGATTGGATTGTCGGCCTCACACGCCACACCACACCCAGAGAGCTTTCTTTATCCAGAGACGACAACACAACGGGGGGATCGATCACACAGGGGAGGGAGAGGGCCAATGCCAGACGGTTCTTCATACACACATATACACGTCAATTGATTGATGTCATCCAGCCTGTGTCGAGTCCTCTCATGCCGTCACACCGACACACACACACACACACACGGCTGGGCGGGTAGCTGTCCCACCAGTCCGGCCGAGCAAGATCAAGATTCACCCACCACATGAATTGATCCATCCACCGATTGGAAGGAAAACCGGCCCCTCCCCTCTCTGACACACAAGCGTACGCAGGCCGCCACATCCCGTCCCACCCCAGTCTGTCAGCAAAACAGCAGCTGTGTGTGTGTAGAGAGAGAGGTGTAGATGGATGGATGGATGGCCTCATTGGCGTATCGACACGAGTGGGGCAAGGCTCCGGGCAGCGGTCGAGCGAGCGAGCGAGCGAGCGAGCGAAGCAGCAGAGACAGACAGACAGAGGGGTGAGGCTAGCAGCAAGGAGCACCGACGGCTGGGATGGTCGGCAATGCCATCACCAGGCTGGGGCACCACCTGCCTTGCAAGGAGGTGTCCCACCCGGCACGAACTTCCAGGCAGCGACGGAACCTGAAAAGAACCAAAAGCACCGTTTAGTCCCTCGTCTGCGGTGGTGTGACCGTGTTGGTCCTTCGTGTCTGTACCTACCGTCCATGCCGGCGGTGAAGAGGAGCCCAAGTGCTGGTATGGAGACCATCGAACGGACCTCAACCTCATTGTGCGCCCGAAAACTCCCACGCTCTGATCAGATCGCCATCACACACACACAATGGTAAGACAGGATTCCATTTGGGGGTGTGTGGGATGGGGGATGGGGGGCTGATACCGTTCATGGTGGGCAGTTCGAGCGCCGTGATCCACCCGTTGTCCTTGGCGAACAGCAGCAGATCCTGACCGTCGGACGGATCCTTCAGACCTGACCCACACACACACATCCACTGGTGCTATGATGTCTCTCTGTATGTGTGTGTGGCTTGGCAGGGCAGGTACGTACCGGCGAGTTTCATGATCTTCTGCTGGGGTCCTGAGTGTTGTTGGTCGTATTCCTCCGCGCCCGTCTGGAGGTTGAAGGCCTTGATGTGGCCGCTCAGGGTCACCGCCAGCATGAAACTCCCACTCGGACCGCTGTACAGGAGCAAATCCTACACACACACACGCACGCACACACACACGCACGCACACACCGCCAGATGTACTCTGTGTGTCTGTTTGCTGGCGTACCATGACTTTGGGGACGTCGAATCCAGCGCCGATGGTGCCGTTGTTGGAGAGATCCAGCACTTGGATCTTCTCGATGGTCGCAACCCACAGCCTGCGCACACACGCAGAGACCGACACGTGAGGGCTTCGCACCCACTGCCATTCGGGTCAATCGACCGTTTTGTGATTACTGTGTTGTGTGGTTTGCGATGGCCTTGACACCGCTGCACACCTGCACACAACATAGGCACCAACACGGAGAGAGAGAGATGGGGCATGGCATCGATAGCAAAGGCGCGCTGCCCTCTGTGTGTCTACATGTGCATCGTGCGCCCACCGGCACTGACTGGACACAGCCGAACTGCTGTGAGGCGGCATCGAACTTCCAAAACCGAACCGTGGCTGGACAGACACAAAGACAGACAGAGAAGGAGATGCATCCATCAATCAGGTGTGATCTGAGTGCGGTCGGATGGTGATGCGGGCGGTTCGGCTATGCGACGGTTGCGTACCGTCCCATGACCCCGATATGAGGACGTCATCGAGCATCAGCAGGGCGTAGACAGGCGCCGTGTGACCCTGACACACACATACACGTACGTGGATGTGATCACAGCATCAAGCGCACGTCACGTCCGTGTGTCTGTCTGCCTACAGTGAGTGTGAAGGTCTGCCCGTTGAGTCGAAAGCAGGTGATCACGCCGTTGGACTGACCCACAAACACACTGACCACCCAAACACACGTGAGCATGGAGGGATGAAGGATATGGTCACGTCGCCCAGCCAGCCATGTGTGTGAGTGTGTGTACCCATCTCCGGCGTAGAGCAGCGACGTGACGTTGCAGCCCTGCATGTTGGTGTCCTGCTTCTCCCTGAACTGCAGCCGGCTGCCGTCCTGCTCAACCATCTCCCACATCTGCACACACACACACAGACAGACAGTCAGACACACAGACAGCAAGCACACAGATGGAGGGATGCCATGCTTTGCCGTGTGGGCAAAGGATCGGTCAGTCAGTCAGTCGGTCGGTCGGTCATTGCACCTTGAGTTTGCCGTCTCTCGACCCTGTCCAGAGGATCGGCTTGGTGCTGTCCTCAGGGTTCTCTTGAATCAACATGGCGTCGATGCCTAAACACAAGCAGGCAAGAGAATGCAATCATCTCCGTCATCTCTCTGTCCCTCCTGTGCCGTGATTGCCATGTTAGTGGTTCTCTCTCACCGACCGTTGCTATGCGCCTTGGGCATGCCGCCTAGCCTCAACAGCCCGTGCTTAAAACTACACGGGCAGGCAAACACACACACAAGTTGGAGATACAGACTCAGTGGGACAGATGTTCGTTCTTACCCGCACGGAGACGAACGTGCCTGACAAGTGCCTGCAGCCACACGGACACAAACACACCATCCAATCCATTCGCTCACACCAATCTATCTGTGTGTCTGTCTGTCTGTCTGTCTTGCATCCCTACCGTCCATGAAGTGTCTGCAGTAGACAAGTGGGTTGCCGCCCCCCTGCCCTCCCCGCCTCCTCGGCCCGCCTCCATGGTCTGCCATCCCATCGGTGTCACCCGCATTCCTCTTGCCGCCCCTCCCTCCCCGACCGAACGGCTCGTACGCACCGCCACGCCCATTGTAGTACGACTGGCCGCCCCTCCCGCCCCTCGCCGGCTGCAGCACCGGCGGCTGGTGATGCTGATATTGTGGGTCATCATACCCATCCTGATAGTAGCCGTCCTGTTGGTATCCGCCGCCACGGCCCCTCCCGCGATAGAAGTCGCCTCCCCCTCGCCCTCGGCCGCCTCGCCGGCCGCCAGACCGATACGCCATCGATGCGCACGGGACGAAAGGTCACCTTGAGGTCATTGATACGAGCCAATTGCGATTCAGTGCGCTTGTATGAGCCACGCTGAGGGCAAGATCTGCGATGAAACGTCGAAACTGCCAACACTCCAGAAGGGTTGAGCTCGCTTTTCTCAGCTCCTGAAACCGCTGCAGCGCGCAGAAAAGAGAGGGGAAATAGCATGGATCCACCGCTGGTGGTGCAGAGGAGCTCATCCTGTCCACCGATGAGGGTGACAATCGATGCCGATGATCCAGATGAGGCACAGTCATTCCTCCAGAGAGCCGTTCCGACGAGCCGTAGCGCCCGCATGCTATCCCCGGCCTCTTCTCATCCCATCGTCGACGTATTTCGTTCCCTCAGAGGCCCAAACGATGTGTCCAGGGCGACCAGCAGGCTGAGAAACGTCCTTCGGACCAGTGGCGCCTCAGCTGATGACATTGCAGAGGCGTCGTGTTCGGTCTTTTCTTTGCTGATGGACGAGGGCTCGGTCAGCAGTGAGCAAATTGATCTGTTCGGGGAGGTTATGAGTATGGCGGACGCGTCGGTGAGGGAGGGGCTGCGGGGCGGCGTTGCTGAGGGGCTGGCGGTGCAGTTGGCGGAGAGGGCGACTGGTGGTGCGGCCGCTGTCGATGTGCGGCTTGGAAAGATAGCGGCGCTGATGCTGAGATGGAGGCTGTTCGACTTGAGAGGTGACAAGGATGGGCAGGCAGGCAGGCAGGCAGGTAGGATGTGTGGGTGTCTGATTCTCATCTCCCTGTATGGTCTGCCCAGGCTGTCTAGCTGTGATTGAGGCGTTGCTGCCCGATTCACCCCACCTCCCCACCCCCCTCTCGCCCCACCTTGCCCACCTGCTCAACTCAATCTTCGACGCCATGCCCTCCCTCGCGCAATGTGTCCGCGAGTTCATCAACTTCCCCTTCTTGATGGCCTTCATCTCTTCGCCCCACCAGCAGTGGGTATTCCACGCCTATCCCCTGCTGCACAGGACGCTCTACCCGCATGCAATCGAGTATCGACGACAGCTGGAGAGCCAGGGAGAGGGAGAGGGAGAAAACGATGACGAGGGAGACAGAGAGGGGGAGGTGGATGAGGCCTTGTTCGATGCCCCTGTGTATGACGCGTATGGCGGTGCTGGTCCGCTGGTGGTGCCGGCGTTGGAGCACCACCCCCACATGGAGACGAGGAGGGAGGAGAGCGCCATGGCCTACGAGCGGGAGGAGGGGCTGTCCACCTATCGATCGCATCGTTTCATGATCCACCCTCGCGAGGCGCTCCACGTGTCTGAGGGAGAGGACGGCGAGCCCAAGCCCATCCTGTCGATGGCGTGCGTGGCCAGGGGAGTGGACGATGATACCACAGCAGAGGTGGGCAAGCAACGAGGATCCGATCCAGGCTGTGTGATGCATGCACATGAAGTGTTGTCCGATCCGACTTGGTTTGGTTTGGTTTGTCCATTCTCATGCTGCAGGCATTGGATGAGTTGGTGTTGGCGTATGGCGACGGCAGCCTGCAGCACGTCGATGTGAGAAACGCCCATGTGCGGTCGACAATCCACATCACGGCCAGCGGGCTGAGGGAGCCCAAAGCCGTCGCTGTTGCCGCCTCACCCAGCCAAAATGCAGGTCACCGAAAGGCTCACACCCAGACAGCTCTCGTGCCGAATGACATCCTTCCTCTCTGTCTGCCTGCCTGTCTGTCTGTCTGTCTGTGTGTGTGCAGGTCGTTCATCCGACCATTTAGTGGTGGGTGTGGTTGACCCTGAGGCGTGCATCGCCTCCCATCTGCTACTCTCGCGCAAACATGACGCCGACACCGACACGGACAGCAGTAGCTCGACCTTTGCCGTCATCCACAGCGGCTTTGAGGAGACGACGTCGCGGTCGCCACGGCAGTATCAGCAACAACAGCAGCAGCTGGAGCTGATCTCGTGTGTGTCCTTCCCGCCGCACAATAGCGACAGGTTCATCTCAGCTGAGACGACTGTTGGGGGACAGGCGCAGGTGAGTGAGATGACTGACACAACACAACCAGGAAGATGCAATGCTTGTGTGTGGAGATGTATGTAATCGATCTGTCTGTTGATTGACACGTCACATGGGTGTCAGGTTGGTTTGTATGAGTTGGCAACAGGCGGATGTCCCAGGCTGCTGCATCCGTATGGCGGGCCGAGAGCCATCCCGACGGACATGGCATTCTGTGCGGCGCAGGTAAGATGACACAATGAACATAATGACCATCAATCAAAGGGAAGGACAGTCGTCTCATTTCCTTCCACTGCTGGTGCCTGCAGGTGTTTGTGGCGTCTTCGTCTGACGGCAGCGTCCACCTGTACGACCTCCGGTCGCCCACCCCCACGACCCTCCTCTCCCCCACACGCCAGGCCATCCCGCCATCGTACACGTCGATCGACGCCTCACCCACCCACCAGCCGCCCTCATACATATCCGCCACACTCGAGGGCCACCTCTCCCACGTCGACCTTCGACACCACAGGTCCCCCCTCATCAGCCAGCAGACCTGTGGCGTCCCTGTCTTGCGGCTGCGGGCGAATTGGGCGGAGAAGGGCGTGGCTGTGTGCACAGACGGTGGTGGGATGATGGCGTGGGACTTGCTCAGAAACGAGGTAGCTGCTGTGCGCCGTGCGAGCGACTGGGACGATGTGCGGTACGGGTGTTGTGTGTGGGTGGGGAGGGAGGTGTGGGCTGCCAGCACGGCCCTGCACTGCTACGGGGTGGTTGTTGAGGAGCAAGAGGTGGCAGACGAGGATGAAGGTGATCAGGGGCAGCAGTGAGTGTATCTGTGTATGTGTGTATGGGAGTCTAGCTGACGGACACCTTGTGCGTGTGTGCGCGGTGGGTGACTCGGACCGAGCTGAATCGATATGTGTGGTGTGGCCATTCACTTACAGAGAGAAAGAAAGCATCCCACTCACCACTGAGTTAGTCATCACACACACACACAGACACACACACAGACACACACACAGACACACACATGAAGGCCTCGAGGCGGGCACACACACACGCAGAGAGCAGACAGACAGACAGACAGACAGGACGGGCAACTGGAGTAGAGCAATGAAGTGGATGGAATTGATGGGGCGAGGGCGTCAAGCCAACCGAGTGGCTCAGTCAGCTGCAGAGCGCTGCCTGCCAGAGCGCACACCCACCCTCACACACACACGCACGCGCACACGCACACACACACACACGCACACACACACACACACACACAGGCCTCCCCCCTCCCTCTCTGCATGTGGACCTGATCCCCTGTTGATTGACATGAGCTGAGCCTGTGTGTGAATGTGTCTGCCTGTCCGCTGCGCCCTCCTGCACACGCGCATTCATCAAAGACGCAAACCCTACGCATAATTAGGGTTTAGATGAGCACGGTGGCCGCCTCCCGGCCCCCCTGCAATGGGAAAAAGCCTCCAAAAGCGAAAGCATTAGGGTTTGGGGTATAGGGTTTGCAGGCTGCGACGGCCACAAAGGCACCAGAGAGGCGCAAACACAGAAAGTCCTCACACGAAGCGAGAAGCAGCCAGAAGGCTTCCCAGCTGAGATCTCTCTCTGTTTGTGTCTGCCTGTCTTCAGGAAGATGCTGCCCATTCTCCACGACCAGGACACGCTGTGATGCGTTCTAGCACACTTTTTGTGCCATTTCAAGGGAGATTTGATTGCTTTTTGGAGAGACCCCCATGTGTTCTACAAAGCACTTTCCCAGGGTGGCTACCCCAACTTGGTTTCCATCAGAAGCCGCGCGACCCACACACACGTCCTCCCTCCAGATGCTTGGTAAGATCTGATGTCCCAAAGTCAACTCATCTCACACACACGCGCTCAGCTTCTGGCCTGCACCTTTCCTGCACAGACACACAGACACTCAAAATGCAGGTCACCGAAAGGCCCTCTCACACCCAGACAGCTCTCGTGCCGAATGACATCCTTCCTCTCTGTCTGCCTGTGTCTGTCTGTCTGTCTGTCTGTCTGTGTGTGTGCAGCTCGTTCATCCGACCATTTAGTGGTGGGTGTGGTTGACCCTGAGGCGTGCATCGCCGCCCATCTGCTCCTCTCGCGCAAACATGACGCCGACACCGACACCGACAGCAGTAGCTCGACCTTTGCCGTCATCCACAGCGGCTTTGAGGAGACGACGTCGCGGTCGCCACGGCAGTATCAGCAACAACAGCAGCAGCTGGAGCTGATCTCGTGTGTGTCCTTCCCGCCAGACAATGACGACAGGTTCATCTCAGCTGAGACGGTCGTTGGGGGACAGGCGCAGGTGAGTGAGATGACTGACACAGCACAACCAGGAGGATGCAATGCTTGTGTGTGGAGATGTATGTAATCGATCTGTCTGTTGACTGACACGTCACATGGGTGTCAGGTTGGTTTGTATGAGTTGGCAACAGGCGGATCTCCCAGGCTGCTGCATCCGTATGGCGGGCCGAGGGCCATCCCGACGGACATGGCATTCTGTGCGGCGCAGGTAAGATGACATAATGAACACAATGACCATCAATCAAAGGGAAGGACAGTCGTCTCATTTCCTTCCACTGCTGGTGCCTGCAGGTGTTTGTGGCGTCTTCGTCTGACGGCAGCGTCCACCTGTACGACCTCCGGTCGCCCACCCCCACGACCCTCCTCTCCCCCACACGCCAGGCCATCCCGCCATCGTACACGTCGATCGACGCCTCACCCACCCACCAGCCGCCCTCATACATATCCGCCACACTCGAGGGCCACCTCTCCCACGTCGACCTTCGACACCACAGGTCCCCCCTCATCAGCCAGCAGACCTGTGGCGTCCCTGTCTTGCGGCTGCGGGCGAATTGGGCGGAGAAGGGCGTGGCTGTGTGCACAGACGGTGGTGGGATGATGGCGTGGGACTTGCTCAGAAACGAGGTAGCTGCTGTGCGCCGTGCGAGCGACTGGGACGATGTGCGATACGGGTGTTGTGTGTGGGTGGGGAGGGAGGTGTGGGCTGCCAGCACGGCCCTGCACTGCTACGGGGTGGTTGTTGAGGAGCAAGAGGTGGCAGACGAGGATGAAGGTGATCAGGGGCAGCAGTGAGTGTATATGTGTGTATGGGAGTCTGGCTGACGGACACCTTGTGTGTGCAGACGATTTGGTGTGTGCACGTGACTCGGACCGAGTTGAATCGATATGTGTGGTGTGGCCATTCACTCACAGAGAGAAGAAATCCGTCCTACGATCACATCCCACCCACCACTGAGTTAGTCATTCTAAAGCCCCCGCTGAGCCAAACTCACCCACCCCACAGACACACACGTTGCCCCCGCCCCGTTCGTCTGCCAGCACCTCAGACGCCTCGCTGCCACTCCTGCCGTGCGGCGGTCTGCTGTGTGTGAGCATGAGGGCGTCGCGTCTCGTGAAGGCATTGAAGAGGTACTCCAAGCGCCACTGCAATTCGTGGTGGGGGTGAAAGCCCATCCCCGGCGGGGCAGGGCCGGGGGCGGGGCCACAGATGCTCTGAATGAATGGAGAACAGACCAATTGCGAACCGAGACACAAAGCAAGCCTGTTGTCTTCAGGCAAGCTGACCTCTTTGAATCGTTCTTTCAGTACGATGGTCTGTTGCTGGTCCAGATGTGGCGTGACGGCCATGATGAAGGGCGGCAGGTCGGCGATGCTCTGCTGCATCTTCTGTGTCACGAGCATCTTGTCGGCGACCTTGCTGATGGTCCAGGCATCGAGCCGCGTGGGCTCGAGAGAGGCCAGCCAGTGGGACATGACGGCGTACGGTTGGAGGGTAATGCCGCTCAGGTGCAGCATGAGGTGCTCACTCACGCCGCGGGGCAGATGCCTGCACATTGACACACACAGAGCATGCTCATGAGAAAGATTCGGACCATCTTGCTGTCTGTCTGTCTGCTCCCTCCCTGTCTGTCTGACCTTGCCAGGTCCGCAACGTCCCGCCAGGTCCTGCCGACTATGCACTTCTCCAGGTACATGAGGGCCATGTCGCACAGCGGGTAAGACGTCACTCGAATGCTCACCGTCACGTCGCGCACCTGCAGGTCAGACGACAGACGACACGCAGTAGAGACGACACAGACACACATACACACACACACACACACGCACCTGCTTGTCGTCCACGCCATTGGCCGTCAGCTGCTCTGGCGTGAGATTGTGAGCGCAGAATGCCATGCCCAGGTTCGCGCCGAGGAGGGCCACACCGAACGTGGCGAGGTCATTCTCGCCGCGAGTTTCGATGGCGATGCCCTCGCGCTTGTGAAGGGTCGTGGGCGGGGGGACGACGCAGCGGTCAGCCGACTGGCCCTTGCATTCCTCCTCCTCGGGTTCGTCAGCTACGGCGGCGTGGCGGACCTGGAAAGTGGCCTCAATGAAGTAGCATCGCGGCCGCATGTCGCTCTGCGCGCGGGCACTCACCCACCAGGAACCCACATCTAAGTGCACAGCCGCCCAGATATGCAGGGATAGATGGATGGATGGATGGATGAATGGATGCATCACCCCTGAGCTCTGAGTCGATGCCGGGGGCTTCACCGTCGAGAATGTCCACAGGCTCATAGATGTTATACCCCTCCTCCTGATCTTCCCTGTCGATCAGCGCCGCAGCCTCGATCCTGAGGCCGCCCTCCTGGCAGTAGATGATGGCCACGGGGCCTTCCTCATCGGTGAAGGAATGGTCCGTGAACCTTCCAGGACGCACACCGAACACGCCATCCGCAAACACGTCATCTGATCAAACACACACACACAGGCAGGGAGCAGTACTGTACCATCAAACCAACACCAGCCTCCAATTCCATAATCCTTCACCTCACCTACCTACAGCCTTCTCAATCGTGGCTGCGCCCGTTGTGTTGGTGAGGAAGGCGACGAGCTCCTCCTTGCTCGCGTCCAGAGTCCCCCCACCCAGTTGCCGAGTCAGCTCGTCAACCAGCCCCGCCACACACTCCATGGCCGTGTCGTTAGCCTCGACGGCATCGGACGCACGCGCCCACTGCCTCTTGACGACATGCGGTGCGCGGAGCAGCGAGGGGGCGAGATGAGCCACCAGCTCGGTGTGGTCGCTGACGAGGCGGGCGATGAGCGTGTAGGGATGGATGCTCTCGAGCAGTGCAGCGGCGAAGCGGTGGTCCTCACACCAGCGACAGCGCACCACCTGAAGCACGAGACAACACACAAGATGATGTCAGTCGTATGGTTTCGTCCATGTCTGCTATCTTTGTTGCCTTCCGTGCTATGGCCTTGAGGAGGCCCTCCCTCTTGGCTTCCTCCAGATCCAGGAAATCTATGGCGACCAGCGCATCGAGGGTATTGGCCTTGGTCATGGCCTTAACGATGGCGGGGGGCTGCTGCAGCACCACCGTGGCAATGTCGCGGCTCACCACCTGCCGTCTGACTGTGACCGTCATCGCCCTGTCGTGGAGGCTTCCCAGGCTGTCGTTGCTGTCGTCCTCCCGCGACGAAGTGCCGTGATCATGGTCCAAAGGACGGTCAAGCAACTGCAGGAGAGAAAGAGAAAGGCACAAAGTACATACGACGGTGAATCCGATATGCATTGAGATCTCTCTCCGATGCATCAGTCCGCACCGCATTGAGATAGTTGTACTGCCTTGCGATGTGTTCCTCCACCATTAGGGGCGAGGCATAGCCCTCGCCGTTTCTATCCGACTCAAAACACACGAATACCGCCATCCTCAATCATACCACGATTCCGTTTACAACTGGCGAGGGCGCCACGAACACACCTGTATCAGAGCTCACCATCCATCCATGAAAATGGCGAGGTATGTAGTTGCTCAGCTTTCCGACCTCGACAACATTTTCACGACATTTTCATCGTCGATGTGTGCCAAGTAGCGGCCGTCGATACGCCAGAGAGAGAAAAATTTGATCTTGCGACTTAAAACATCCACTCGTCCATCCATCCATCCACACATGCGCACGGAGAGAGAACATCCAGGCAGGCAGAAAGAGGCAGCCAGAGAGAGGGTCATCCGTAAGCTAATGCGAGCACACCAACCAGCCGTCACACGTGGGGGAGAGAGAGATGTTCCTACACGCGACAAGCTCATCGATCGCTGCGCACACGGCCTCCTTCGCACATGGACGGCTGGCCGGGCTCTGGGGCGAGTGAAGGCCTCACCTCGCGTCTTCCTCTCAGACACAGACAGACAGACACACAGTCAGACAGACAGACAGGAAAGGAGCAGGTCAGCCATTGCTTATGTGCGTGTGAATGCATCAGTTGCGTTGCAGACATGCCATGCCGTGCCACACTCGAGGGAGAGGGTGGCAGGCAGGCAGTCAGTCGCAAAGCTACCTCAGCAGAGCACTCACGCGCCACACCCACACAATACATAGGCGAGACGAAACGAGAGACAAGAGAGATAGAAAGACAGATATCTCTCTCCAGCAAGACAAGAATGAATCTGACGCTCACTCAACCCCCGCCCCGAGCCACCTAGCTACGTCCGTGAACCCGTGTGGCTGTCTGTCGTGTATGTCTGTATGTGTATGTGTTTATCTATCGTCCGCCGTTCCTTCTGTTGCGTCTCGTCCAGCCGCCCCCTCCGCCAGCAGCCGCACTGCCACCATAGCCATACCCCCCACCGCCATTGCCGCCCGCACCCCAGGCACTTCCCCAACCGCCATTGCCGCCAGCCCACGGCCCCGTGGGGGGGGTAACCCACGGGCGGTACGACCCATATCTGGGCCTGCCTGCAGGATGGTGTGTGATGGGGTGGTGGGGGGCCGTCCAGTCGCTCTCCGAGTCGGCGACGGCTGGGGTGGGGATCTGCTGCTTGAGGCTGTGGGTGGTCTTGCCGGCAAACTCCAACAAATCAGCGACGAAATCTACAGTGCATATGTCCATTCACACAGACGCACGCACGGGCACATATGGAGGTGTACGGTTGGTGCTGTCGGGCTGTGCTGCGTGTGTGACCTGAGGGGAGCTGTTTGCAGTAGTGCTTCCAGGTGGGTGTGGTGTTGGTGTCGGTCGTGGTGTTGGCAGCCCCCGCCCCGCCGCTGCCCCAGTCGCTGTCGTCATCACTATCATCCTGACCAACACACACACACACACACATACACACACACAGAGAGAGAGAGAGAGAGATACGTACCCACACAAACAAAACACATCACGCTGCGCCACACCAATGTGATGTATTTATGTGTTGTGATGTCCGTCACGCGAGCGTACGTCGGTGTGTGGCTTGGTGGCCTCCTCTATCTGGGCCATCAGCTTGCTCATGATCTTCTCGCTGGGGAACGCGGGCATCGTGTGGGCCGTCGGCTTCAGACGCAGCACGAAACACGCCACAGCGAAGCTCCAGCGATCGGGGGCGGCAAACAACTCGTACAGCAGACTGCACACAGCACAAAGCCATCTGTCCATCTGTCCATCTTTCTTGCTTTCATTGGCTCACGTGTTGACGAGCATGTCGACCTGGTAGTACTCGGCCATAGCGAGCAGAGCCAGGCCCGACAGGGGGTTGGTCTCAGGCAACTCGAACCCACCATCCTCACACACAACACTCGACACCGCAGCCTGATCCATCCATCCATCCATCCCACAAACAAACAAACAAAGAAACAAACAAACAAACAGACGAAGTATGTGGTTTGTTCTTTGCCTTTGAGCACCGTGACGTGTGTGACTCGTCCCTACCTACCTTAAGCCACTTGTCGCCCTGCTTCATGGAGTTGAGTAGGTAGATGAACAGCTCCACCGCCTCTTTGCAGTGGTTGATGGTCACCGTCTGCGTCGCCCCCTTGGCCAGCGATGAGTTGAGCATGTACTCCACCACCGGGCTCGAGCACAGCACGCTCCGCAGAACCACAATCACCTCAGACGTCACACCACCTCGGGAACATACCTTGACGAGGCTCTCACTGTCAGCGACCGAGGTGCCGGTCGTCTGAGCGTCACGGAGGTCTGTCTGCGTGCCTCTTGACGTCATTTTGTGGTTTTTGCGAAGGATGCGATTTCCTCGGTAAATCGCTGAAACCCTAACCCTGTCACCCCTCGTCAGCTTTTCTCATGGTCAACGTCGCCTACCTGTGAGCTGCCACTGAGCCATCGCCTATACGAGAGCAGGCAGGGCGCTTCACGAACAGCGAGATCTTCTATTTCTCCACGCACCTCTGACACGTGGGTCTGGCGGCGGCCTCAGGGTGAGAGAGGATGGCGCAGACGATAGCCTCTTTCGACACGGCGCACAGCGGTCCGATCCACGATGCGCAGCTTGACTACTACGGCAAGCGGCTGGCGACTGCGTCGGCGGACCAGGCCATCCGGATCTGGGACGTGTCGACGGAGAGTCCGTCTTTCTTGGCGGAGCTCAAGGGCCACGAGGGCCCCGTGTGGCAGGTGACCTGGTCGCACCCCAAGTTCGGCAACTGCCTGGCGTCGTGCGGCTACGACAAGAGGGTGATCGTGTGGAAGGAGATGAGCATGGGCCACGGGGGAGGGGCACACGGAGGGCAGGGCGAGAACTGGCAGATGGTCTACAAGAGCGAAGACCACGGGGCGTCCGTCAACGGGGTGGCCTGGGCGCCGTGGGAGTACGGGCCGTATCTGGCTTCAGGTAACTACCACTGCACTGACTGACAGAGAGAGGAAAATCTGATGATAGGTGTGTTTCCTCCCTCCTCTCCGTGTGTGTTGCAATGCAGCATCGTCTGACGGCAAGATCGCTATTTTGCACCACAGCACCGCCGACCAGCAGTGGCTGCGCACCGAGTTCCACGCCCACGCCAACGGTGTGAATGCCGTGTCGTGGGCTCCGGCAGCCACGCCCGTGGTGCTGGCCAGCGGCCCAGCCACACAGGGGCCTTCTCTCGGACCCATGAGGATCGTCAGTGGCGGATCTGACAACCAGGTGAATGGACGGACAGAGAGGGAAGGGAGACCATTGGTGTGGGTGCACTGTGGAGGTGTCATTTGTGTGTGTGTGTTCGTGTGTGTGTTTAGGTGAAGTTGTGGCAGTATGAAGACCGGTCCCAGAAGTGGGTTGAGCGTGCGGGCATCGACGCCAACAACGGCCACACTGACGTCATCAGGGACGTGGCATGGCGGCCCAACGTGGGGGTCCCCAGCAGCACCATCGCCTCATGCTCAGAGGACAAGACCGTCATCATATGGACGCAGGTGACACATGCTCACACGCCCACACACACAAAGAATCAATGAATCACGCTGCCGTTTCTGCCCGTGTGTTGTTAAAGGAGATGGAGATGGAGGGTCAGCCATGGAAGAAGGCGCAGGTGATCCAGCTGGACGGCCCCGTGTGGCGCGTCGACTGGTCCGTCACCGGCAGCGTCCTGGCAGTGGCTTGCGGCGACAACCAGGTGCTGCTCTACAAGGAGAACCTCGAGGGCAAGTGGGAGTTGATCACCAACCTCAGCGACACACAACACACCGCACAGCCACAGCAGCAACAGCAGGCAGGGGCCATGGACGCCATGGGAGGCGGGATGGGTATGCAGCAGCAGCAGCAATCCCCACCCCCTCCGCAGCAGCAGCAGCAGCAGCAGCCGGTTGGCCAGCCGGGCATGGGCATGGGCGTGGGGATGCCGCCACCACACACCCAGCAGCAGCAGCAGCAACAGCATGGCCAGCCCGGGATGGGTATGGGCATGCCACAGCAGCAGCAGCAGCCGGGAGGGGCCATGGGTGGGATGATGCACCAACAGCCCCCGCAGATGGGCGGCATGATGGGGCCAGGTGGCGGCATGATGGGCGGGGGCGGCATGCACCAGCAGCACCAGCATCAGATGGGCGGGCAGCAGTTCATGTAGCCAGCCAGCCAGCCAGCCAGATGGGTACGTAGCCTGTGCGCCTGTTTGATGAATTAAGATAGATGGACATGCAGGACAGATGTGCCACCTCGTGTTGGTGGCATCCGTGGATGGATGGACAACGACTTTTAATGCTTCATGTTCGTCGTTCACAGACGATTGCACACGAGTCTTTGGGCCCCATACCACTGTGTGCCCCCATTCGAATTCTTCCTTCGGAACTCGGAATTCTACCGGCTTTCATCACCGCAACTCGTCGCCCCTTGCTCGCAAGGCTTTTCCTCGACACCCCTTCGTCCCCCCCTTGCTGCTGCGAAGAGTCCGCCCTTCGTCCCCCCCTTGCTGCTGCGAGGAGTCCGCCCGCCCCTGCTCAGCCACTCGGCTATCCCTCCTCCGTCTGGCATCCAGCACCCCCAGAATCGAAAAGATGGTGCTGCCCGAGCTTATGCTGGGGATCTATGTGTTCGGGTCGTTTGGCCTCTTGGCGGGAGCCGCCATTCCTTCAAAGCCGAAGACACTCAACGGTTATTCCCACCGACATGCCGCCCGAGCACGACGAAAGACCCTTCGCCAGCTGGAGACGCTGGTGATTGAGGTAAGGAGATCGGAGGGCGGGGGGGAGGAAGGCGGGAGG